TTGTAAAATAATTAACAAAATTGGTTTAATTAACAAAAAACTGACCTACATCAAGTGTTTGCAAACCTCGTGGAATGAATAGTTTTGCTCAAAAGTTTTATCTATTGTTTTCTTTCTGGGTTTTTACTTTTCTGGTCTTCAGATTACATTCTAAAGTAAAAACAAGACAAAACGGCTTTACTTTGTTTACTACGGATTTGTAACGGATTTTCGAATTAACTGTCAAAAAAAAAATAGGTTAAGAAACTCTCCGAAATGACAGTCGCAGATAAACTGTCTCCAAAATGACAGTCACAAAACCGGTGAAACAGCGTCTTGAAATCGCGATTTTGATCGAAGTGGCGATTATAAAAGGCAAATTGCGTCTCGTGACTGAAGTCGCGTTTTGAGGGTCGACTATAAATACGGCCCTAAATCTGCAAACCCTGTCCTAAACCTAAGTCTGCAAATTAAAGATTTCTGTAAACTTTGCTATCACTGCTCGTTTTTATATATTAGCGGAAACATATAAAGTTAGAAATAAGAATTATAAAAACGTATAGAAAAAATACCGTATGATCGAATAAAAACGGCGTCAGCGATGGCTATAAAATGAACATCGATGACATTTCCCATATAAATTTATATATAAAATGACAGCGATCTTCATCTCATAGCCATCGCTGACGCCGTTTTTATTCGATCATACGGTATAACAAAATAATTAGCGGTTGCACGGAGGTAAATGAGCCGTTTTACATTAAAGAGCTCGCGAGGGCGACCCAGTTCTCGCCGTCCTTCTCACTGAGACGTCTCCAGTGCCGCTTCGTGCGCGATGCGTGTAGAATTTTAACCAGGACACGTTTCTCGCCAATATCTGATATTTTAATGCGGCAGGGCGTGTGAAAAGGACCAGCAATGGAAAAACTGCCACGGTCTTTTCTTCTTTCCCGAGAAAAATGTACTCTCGGGGTGATAAATAAGACGTGGGATAGGTGCCATGCCGGCGGCAGAGTGAATTAGTACGCTTTGGAGGAAGTTCGGGGTGCCAGTCCTTTTGTGAAAAGAGATAGATTGCTTTTTTTCTAAATTTCTCATTAAAAACGGATCAGTAAACGCATGTTTATCTCTAATGATGTAGTGCTGCTTGAGAATCTAACATGTATTATTTTGTATTTTAACAATCGGGCCCAAACCCAACCGGAATTTGTGAAGAACAACAAGGATTTAAAATGAAAAAATGCGATAGAAACTAGAGCAGTGAACACAGTAACAAAACGGCTCCTAAGAACAACAGAAATGCGAAGTTATGCCCTTAGATCAATTACAGGATCTACCTTATATGACCGGAAAAGAAGTGAGGATAGAAGAGAAACATGTGAAATACAGGATGTAGTAAGATGGGCAAGAAACAGTAGAAGAGAGTGGAGATAGCATGTGGACAGGATGCCAAACGACCGGTTAGCAAAAATTGCTACTTGAAAAGACCTAACACGCCTCGACCTCCAGGACGGCCGCCTATAAGATGGTATGAAAGCTGGTCTTCATCATCCCAACTGTTCTTAAGGAACCATTGAAGAAAACCCAGGACTTGGTCCTAACGTACGAAGAAGAACAAGAACAATCGGGCCACAGGCACCGCACAGTGTTTCGATCACTGGACAAAATTAATCCATTTTTTATTAAAATTCTTTTATTGCTTATGAATATTAACATGTTGTTTATACTAAACACACACACACAATAAATGTTTGCTAAATATAACTGGTTTAATTCAGCGGAGCGGCCACTTTTGACAGATGCGCTTAAAAAATTGCACTTGCACATTAAAATAATTTTGATACGCATTCTTCAAACTGAAACCAAACTATATTATGTATCTAGTTCTATAAAATCCCACTTACGCTAAGTATTTCCTTCTGCTTAACATAAACTAATTCCTAACTAATCACTATCAGAAGACTCTTATATTCTGATGAGTCTAATGAGCTACAATCCTCTTGTAACATAGGTATAGTCGATATCCGTATCGGTAGTCTTCTTATTGATATTTATATTATTTACAGAACGTAATATTAATATATCTAAGACTTTGGAAGAGAGATTACCAATATATTTCTTAGATCATCATTCATAAATTTGGGCGTTTCTCAAATCTAGCACTTTTGTTGCTTATGTGACCAGTATTTTCGGTCAGCGCATTGCACACGTTTTACTCAGACATCGTGAAACATGTTTAACCCTAAACTCAATACCACCAATGCTAAACATTGTCAGTAATAGCGATTTTATTTCCTCGAAAACGTTGTTTCGGTCACGGTAAATTAGGTATTTTCTTTTGAAAAAATAATATTAATTGGACGATAGTAGGTACATAGGGCTCAAACTCACTGACGACCAGATCCCAACAACCTGGCCGTCGGCTGGCCGGATGTATTGCGTTTTTAGCTGCGGCCAGATGAACGACCACTTTCAACAGAGTTGTCAAATCTAACGATTTTTTACGTTTTACCAATTAGAAAATATTGTTTCAGAAATGTTAAAAAATCCGAGTTAACTAAAAAGCGAAGTTGCTATTCACAACAAACAAAAAGTATTGTGTACGCGCGACCGACAAAAAGGGAGATATTCTGTTTCTTTTTTCTACTGATATGGCGCCCTTATCGACTTTAGAAGTAAACATATTAGGGCCATCGTAAAAAAAGATCGTCAGACACCGGCTCTAAATATAAGCAGGTAGTAAGTTTAGCTTGCAGTTATTTCAATGTTTACAATATAACGAAGAATCTACAACAGTAATTACTTCTATTTTTATGAATGTTTAAGTTACTTTCTTATTTTTTTTTCAAAATAATGTACCTAGTAGAAATATAGTCTAATGAACCCTGTTTGAAAAACGTTAAATTAAATATAATATTTAAAATACAGTTGTCCTCCTTGTACATGACTACAATACAACTAAAAAAACTAATTTAATAAAAAAACAAGTGGTTGTAGAAAAACTTTAAATATTATTTTTTTTATTTTTTAACATCGAAACTCAAAGGTATAATAACAGGTATCATACCAACCATAAATTGAGTAGGTATGTCATATAAAAATGTTTTGAGTTTTTACTAGAATCGACCCTTTCTCTAGTTTTTCTAGAATCGAAAAAAGGATTAGATTTAAGTTTACCTTTGATCCAGTCTGTATACTATTTCTTTGGATTGTGACTACACTATATCTTATAGAAAATAAAATATTGTGCCTTGAATTTGAGGGATTTCATCTGAAAAATTATTAATTTGGAAGAAAACCGGGAACAAGCGGCAGAAAATAATATTTCCGTGCAGTCTTCTGGCCGCAACGACCAACGGACGGCCAGGATGTTAGTGTGCGCTATATCATTTGATTTAATGGTTTTAGAGGTAGCTGCGGCTTGGCCGGTGCGACCTGGTCGTCAGTGTGTTTGAGCCCATAGTCAAAGATGGTTGAGGATTCTGCCAGATAATATTACTACCTTGGTTCCGTAATTAAAGCGGTACCAAAAAAACACAAACAAAAATTCATCAGTGTGATCGGCAATGGTGAATGTTTGTTTGTATGTGCTGTGACCGAAACTTTCATCACATTCCTACTTACTGATAAGAGTCAATGATCAGCAAGTTTTTTTCCAGTCCATATTTATGTCATAATTTTTTGTTAATTGCAGTAAATAACATTTTTTAATAAAAATTGTAGAGAATTCAATTGTCTACAAATTTGCTCATAACCTTTTTGTCGAAAAATTATAAGAAAGTACCAAAAAAGAAAATCGCCGAAAACCATAAAATCTAAGATGGCGGTAAGACTGTGATTTTGTCGTGTACCTGTCAAATAGAAACTAACTGCGTTAAAATTATTAGTATTATTAGTATTATATTATAGTATTTTTTTATTATTTTAATTAGTAATTGGGCTATCTTTTGGAAATAATGTAAACATAATCTGGAAAAAAAAGAATATACTATAGTTGTACAGGGTGAGTTAACGATAGATTAAAGTCTATTATCACAGTTTAAAGAATACATATTTATATTCTTTAAACTGTGCTATTATCTTATTTGTTTCGAGGTTTACAAAAAAATGTTAAATATAAAAGTTACAGGGAAGGTTAGAATACATATTTTATTGATTATTGTGTTGTAGACAATACACGGTGCTTCAAAATAACATGGCGGATATAATATATGTTTTTCTAAATGCAATACCCTATTTTTTATTTTATTTTTAGATTCTGCGTAAAATTCTATCATTTTTTATATATAATGTTATATACTTAAAATTAACAGTTTTTGCAATGTTTGCATTTGTTTAAACAAATGTTAGATTTCAGTGTGGTAAAAAATTGTCAGTGATGCCATTGTTTGTGAAGTTGGACTACTAAAATTTAGTATGAGAGTTTTCAAGAGGTGAAGAAAAAGATATAAGTAAAGATATTTGAGTTTGTTACAGGATTAGTTGGAGATGCTACAGGGTGTTCAAAATATATTTATGAATTTCAACTAGTTAAAAAAATTTTAAATGGCACACTCTATATTTTATCATTTTTTCTAGTAGATTTTATAAAATTCTTTAACTTTTATTAAGTATATCATATACCTATTTTTAATAGTTTGCGATTTATCCACGTACACTATTTGAATTATCGTCCAACAACCCAAGTAATAAGCACCGTTTAGAATTCAATATAATGTATTATATCACAGAAAATTAACAATGTCTTAAACTTTCTTAATAATTTTGTTAATATCGTCTACACTTTTGTGGCACGTTCATTTCTTGAAATCGTCTGTTTTTGCCACTGAAACAGAAGACTAAAAAATAATAATAGTGTTAATTTCCACTTTGCTGTTTCACTGGCGAAATATCGAGATTCTTCAAGCAATTTCAGAAGGTGTAACAAATTCTGAAATCTGGTTATTTTGACAATAGATTTTTTTTAAATTTTTTTTGCTTTGCCAAGAATACAATTATGATTTATTTCTCTTTCATTTTAGCCTATGTGGATGAGGAGCAAAGAATACTGGGATAAAACGTTCGAGGATCGCTACGAACGGCAAAAAATGGATCCCGAGAGACCTCCTCTAAAAGTAAGTAGCTTTTAGTTCTCTTCTTCGACCCGTAAAACCTTTTTGCTCTTTCGGCTTGTTTTAGCTTAGACATCCGTTTATATATAGCACATTCTATTGTTAGCCTTTTTCTTACTGTCTAATCAAAATATAAATATATCAAGGAAGGAAATTTAGGGGGAAAGTAGCCTATACCGTAATGGCTCTTAAATTGTAAGTCTTAAAAATCTGGTTTAAAATTGCATTTTATTGCAGGATATTTACATTTAGTAATACATCTTATTGAGCATAAGACATCCATTAATACCCAAGATATTTTTCAGTTAGAACTAGTGGTTAAAGAGATAATATACAGGGTGAGTCTTAAATAAGTGCAAATATTTTCAGGATTGGTAGATCTCTATAAAATAAACATAAATACCTTTATATAATCTTTACCGTTTTTCAAATAAATCTGAAATAACCGGGATATTTTACTTTAAAATTTAAAAAAAAATCAAAGGATCTTTTCTGAATTTTCTTTCTTGTAAATTTAAATTACTACCTCTGTTGTCATATGGTCAACAAATTATTTTACTTAACTAAAAACTAAAAAAAAAATCCAAAATTTTTTGAAAAAATTCCAAATTTTCAAAAACAAAACTCATAATCGTGTTTCTGGGGTCGAAACAGTTACTAACCCTAAAAATATTTGCACTTATTTTACTTTTTATTTATTTTAGTCATCCTGTATATCAAGATTCGTTATGCTTGTACTCTAATATTTCAATGACTTAAAATAAGCGATTTTGTGTGGTTTGAGGGAATGTAATTGATAATATAATATGTATTTTTTCTTAAACTAGGGATTAACTTAACTATGCTAAACTTAGCATCATCAGCCAGATGATTAAAACTCAACAATATACCAGTTTGGTCAGCATTTTATTCATCGGCTTATAATGCTAACACGGTTAGCGAAACGCGTGTCGAGAGTATTTAAAAGTAAAGTGTTTTGGTCTATTGTGGTGAATTAGTGTTTTATTTTACTAGAGAATATTTTAGTACATTCCGCATGATTAAATATTACCTTAATTCTAAAAAGACCGCTAAATAATTTATATTGTTATTTTTAATGAAGTATTCTAATATTAAACTTCTGTATGGTTCTATGGCTCTATTATATCTCTGTATGGCTCTATTTGTACCAGTGCGATTTAGGAAAGTATCAGATTTAATAGAGGTACCTTACGGTAGATCTGAAAGTATAACATATGCTACAAATGGATTTTGAAGGTGTAACATCGTCTGTAGACAGAACGGTTTACACAAATGCTGATAAGCATGCTGATGCTGATGATGCTAAAGCATAGTGTTTGTGAAGTTAGTTGGGATAGATATGGAATTGTCGGCGTCCTTCTCGATATAATCTGGACAAATGAATTAAGAGTCAAAGTACTTCAAATTGACTTCGGAAATACTATACAGGGTGAGTCTTAAATAAGTGCAAATCTTTTCAGGGCTGCGGCTGGTAGATATCGATAAAAGAAACTTATTTTCTCTTCACCATTTTTCAGATAAGTCCAAAATAACCGAGTTATTTTGGACTGAGGAGTTTGAAAATTAAAAAAAAATATATTTTTTTTTGAAAAAATTTTGAGAGCATCCCTTTTAGTGCCGTAACCATGAAGTAAAGCTGTAACTATGGTAATATCAGAGATAAAGAATTATACCGTGGGAAAATTTGCGGTGAACGGGCAGTTCTAAAAAGTTTTCGAAAAATATGCAGGGAAATTTAAAACAAAATGCACGATTATCAACATTTTTTTTTGCGAAAAAACTTCATAGACGTGTTCCTGGGGTTAAAAAATACCACCCCTGAAAATATTTGCACTTATTTAAGACTGACTCTGTATAAGATAACCTGCAAACTGAATTAACAGTACTTAGTAGACGTTTATAGCTAGCCAATATAATGAGATAAAATTAATGGTTCGGAAGGTGCTTTTATGATATTTATTAACAAGTTAAAGCCTCTTGGTGATGACTTTAAACCACTTCAGAAGTATGATTAAGCATGAATATTGTAGATATGTTTCAGATAGTAGGTACGATATATAGTAACTACTAGTACCACCGTAGGACTTCGGCAACCGGTGTCGCGAATTGTACTATTTGCAAGACATTTGATATTTCTGTTGAAAAAATGTTATTAAAAATCTAAAAAAAATATGTTATAATGGAAAAGATTAAATTAAATATTTTCGCAATAATCACAACCACCGCATCAGTCAGAAAAATTTGGTAAATGTGTTCACTTTTGTGCAAAGCGATACAGTTTTGACTCTCCCCCTACATGGTTTTTCGGATATAATTTACATAGAAATCTGATGTTTTAGTTTAGGACCTTACGAGGGTTAAGGGGTGTTTCAAGGTATAGTTTCTTTTTAAAATATTTTTCAGTTCCAAGCACGTGAGGTTTAACCAATGCTTATCTATTTTGTCTAGGGTTGGAAAAAATCAGATTTTTTTATTTAAATCAGATTTTTTTTATTTTAATTCAAAACAATATTTAAATCGGATTTCCAAATGACTAGGACTTATTTCCAATTAAAGTCGTATCCTAAATGGCTAAATCTATACCCCGATACCGATAACATTAATAATTCTACGGGGCGTGTCATTTTTCCACATCGGTCACCATATATTCCACAAAAAAGTCGTTCGCTTCAGATCAAAAGGATTTTTTTTCAAACGTTTCAAAAATAGTAATTTTTGTCATTTTAACGCCTAGACATAAAAGTAAAGCACTGTTACGCCTAAGCACAAAAGTACAAAAATATTTAAACTGATATTAAGTGTCAAATTCAACGAGTGTACAAATTGTTGCTCGATTACTGTTTACATTATTTGTAATGTTTGAAATTGATTAAAAAAATATTTGTACCTAATGTTTAAAAAAATAGCAGGTATGTTCTATTCGGATTAAAAATGTACTTTTTATGCCTCCCTGTAACGTCGGAATAGCTTTACAATGGTCCTTCAAAGGTACAGCATCGTCAAAAAAAGTATAATTTTTACTCCTAATAATACATTATTGTTCGGAAATAGTCTTTAAGTCGAGAATGAAATTAGTATGTATTATCAAATATCAAAGTGTAAAGTACTTACTGTAGATCAAAATCTCGGCAGGAATTTGGAAACATATAACCGTTTCAAAAAAAAATATAAAACAACATATTTTCTGACAACGATTGTAGATTCTCGGGAATGAAGATACAGTTTCTATATAAGAAGAACCTAGTTCTACATTAGACTGCGAATGATATGTATTCGAACTTTTGAACAGCGAATTTTTGTCACTTATACATAAATTTTAAAGTCCCTGCGTTTATCGGTCTAATGAATTCACACGAAATTATTTCAAAAATCGGTCCAACAATTAAATTGATGAATAGTTATTTTTATATGTATAGTTTTATAAAGTTTACAGTTATTTTTCGATTTATTGTCTGTTATATCTGTTATAGAAATATTTTTTATAGTTTTCTAGGATACATTTTTATAACTTTTACAATTATTTTTTGATTTATTATAAAGTTTCAATAAAATATTTTTTTTGATTTAAATCACATGATTAAAATTAAAAAAATCCCTTGATTTAAATCATACCAACCCTGATTTTGTCCTTTTTAGTTACATGAATAATACATGATTACATGATGTTATACATGAAATTGAAATATATTTTGTTTATAATGGCCTAAACTTAAGTTTATCCGGTTTTATAATAATATGTATTCACAATTTTATTTTTTAAATTTTTATTTCATGTTTTCAAATGACCAAAAATACATTCTGGAGAATGGTGGGTTCGTACAACAAACTGTATTAACTGGAATCTTTGTAAAAATATAGTTTAAGACTATAATACATTGAGTCTTAATATTTGTCACAAACTTTATAAAAAAATGTGCAATATATTTCTCTATGTGCAAACAAATTATTTCTAACAATATTAATGGAAAATTCAATTATTTAATGTTGAATATATACCGGATGTTTCTCAAAAGTGGCTCACCCCCAACTTTTAAACTAACTTTTTTATTTTTTTCAGATAAAAAAACGAGATTCGGTATACTTATTAGTATATGATATAATTTGGGATTGATTGACGTCACTTCCTGTTTTACCGGAAATGACTACAACTTTTAATTGTTTAATGAAAATCAGTTAAAAATGTCAAATTATGTCATTCTTAATTAAAATAATAGCATTTTAAATTTCAATTTAGATCCATAAATGTAACGACAATTTGATTCGAAATATCAAGTGTGTTAGAATATGGGCTAATCGTCCATTCCATCGTTGTTTCATTTAAAAAAATGACTATGATATTAAAAATATGATTTGGTTATCTTTTGACCGACCAGAACAAGACACGAAACACATTAGACTATCAAATATATGTTTCCCAGGCTTCTTGATTAAAAATTAGAGTTTTTAACACAGCCATTGCAGTCGATTGAAATTTAAAATACGATTTTTTTTAATTGAAAATATCATAAGTTGACATATGATCTGTTATTCTATTCAGAATGTTATGTTTATAGTTTTTGTTATATATCTATTCAGTAATGTTATGTGAACAGAGTAGGTAAAACAAAATACCGAAGGTGCCATTTAAAAATCAAAAGCTGTAGTAATTTCGGGTGAAACAGAAAGTGATCAAAAACAACTGAATACGTCAATTAATCCTAATTTATATCATATACTAACATACCAAATCTCGTTTATTTATCTGAAGCAATAAAAAAGTTATAGGGGTGAGCCAATTTTGAGAAACACCCGGTATAGTTAAAACAACAATACATAGGTATCTAATTCATGAAATTTATATATTATGTATAATCATTTTTGACAAGTAGTAATACAAACTGGGAGAATAAAAATATAATTACACTTAGGCCCTGCGGCACAAAAGACGGACCCCTTAAAATGTGTATATAATTTATTTGACTATTGGATTCTTTAAATTCTCA